TCGTCGACGTCCACCACGTCGAGAGTTCACCTCGTAAATCCGCGTGCACGGGATGTGTCCACCCGCAAGGACCGTGGGGACAGTCCGCTGGCAGATGGTCGGTGGAATCGTTGTTCGCGCCGTCACAGCCGCTGTTAGGACGGTCTGAAACGGAGGAGAAAAGAGAATGGGCGACGTGGTTTATCCGGGTTACATAAGAAGAAAGTCGATCAGCGGAGTGTGAGATTTCTGGTGTGTGACTCGACCACATACGATGCTTCACTGAAAGAAGTTCGAGGAGGACGCTCCACATTCCTCCCTGGGGATGGTGGAAGGCATATGGGGTCGCGTGGTTCGTGTTCGTGAGAACTTGATCCGGAGAGGTGATCTCGGCCGAGAGAAAAAGAGTGGTCTTGGGACAGAGAGGATTTCTCTGGAAGAAATCGGGGTGGTAGATCAAGGAACAACCGAGTCGCGGATCGAAGGACTCCGATGAAGTCCAGGATAATTCGTTCATTAGTCAGAGAGACAACTGGACCGCGTGGGTGACGTAAGAACACCGAGGACAACACACAGGGGATCAGGGATTATCCCCTCCCCTACGATAACCTGGACATGCGACTGGTAATGCTACGTGTACCCGGAGCCGTCTTAACTTAATTCACGGATCGCGACTTGGACGATTTCGCTTCGATAAATGGTGACCTAGAAGAGAGTTTTCGCCGCGTACGGAGGGTGGTATTTAGGGGGAGAAATGGATGACACGCGTGACTGCTAGAGAATGCCCGGACAGTGGAGCTGGATAGCGAAGGGACGTTTCGAGGCCTGACGATGGGTCACAGCAGACTGGATTGTTGTAACGGTTAGCTGGTTCGATCTTGGGGATCAGAGGAACGGGAGGGAATAATATACGGTTCCGCGGGGAAAGCGTGTACGCTGCATAGAAGAGACTATGTGGGGTCCAGGATGACTATACGAAACCGGGAAACGAAGGGAACACCTGGACGGTATCATGCGTGGAGGAAGGTCCTTTGACCGAGTTGGAGGCATCAAAGTATCTGGTTTGCGCCCGGTGTTGGTGCAGGGGCGAGGGGGGATTCGAAGAGACTATTACGAGATGAGAGATGTAGGGTAGGGGGGTTGATCGCGAGGGGAGGTGGGAGGTTGTGTGCGATGTATCGACGGGATGTGAAGCGGAGGTCCTTTCTTCGTACGGAGTGTTCTCGACCCTGTCCCAATTTCCAGCCGGAGGCTCGGTAGGGGGCGGCAACGATCCACGATGCCACGGATTAACTAGGCCGTGGCACCGACGCGCGACGCCCGACGAGGGAAGAAGACGAAAGACGTGGAGCATTCTCGACCGGATAGAGTAACGAAAAAAATAGTTGTCGACGGGGTGTTATTTGTAGAGGGGCGCGGGGGACGGGAGCACCGTCTCGCGGGTGTTCCGAAGAATGTGCAGGTGCATAGACTTTCGTAGCATAGACAGAATGTTCAAGAGCAGGATCTTCCAGGGCGACCTCAGCCCTGTCCCAATTGCGGGCAGCCTGCAACAGTCCAGTACGTAACAATGAGAGAAAAGCTTCTTATCCCACCCTCTCGTGAGTTAAATCGATCGTTCGACGCACCGCTCGCGCAGGGGATCGATCCTTTCAGGTTCTGACTTACGAGCGGGGGACGGGCTTTCGGGAACTAATCTACCGCGCCCTTTTAACCGGTTAAGGGGTTACATACCTTTAAGCTGGTAAATAAGAGGGAAAATTAAAAAAAAAATTTTGTATATGCAGAATTATCGTTTATTAAAAATTTATAATTACAATTAGATCAAAAAGTATGGTTTGCTGTTGGAGCTTATACTTTTCGATCCATTTTTATGTAAGTTAACAAGACATGTATACATATATACAGGAGCAGAGTATGAAATTAACATCTATAATTGTCTCTTTGCGTTAACTCTGGACGGCCCATAAAATTCCATTTAAATTTTCCATTTACACCGTGTCGGTCGCGTGTGATCGTCACTTTTAGTGCACAATAGTCGTATTGACATAAACGGGAAGTTACGTGAATATGCTGACGAACAAATACCGACGAGCGCAGTCGATAAAAGAATCGTGAGGCAAGAGGCTAATCTTGAAATTTACAAAATTTTCAAATACTACAAGATATTCCTAAAACGAGGGGTCAGATTTTGCGAGTGTATTGTCCACATTGGAAAAATAACAAATGCTTTTTATTTCCAAGACACAGCGTTTCAAAGTTTATTACAGGATGTGTTAAAAATGACTTCTGTGGGGTGCATGCTTCGTGGATTGCCAAACACGTACGATAATATATGTTCATTATTTCGAATAGATTGACACACTTCTACAATACGGTTACTAAGATCTAAACTCTGACCTAGCTTTCGATTAGGCAAGCTGCTTAAGATACCCTTAAATAAAGAAATCGAAGCGGACTCGAACATATAATGCTTCTTTGTCACTGCGGACAAGTAGGACACGCTCGTAAAATGTGACCCCTTATTTTAGAAACACCCTGTATATGAGTATTCGAATGTTACGGGTGTACTACACAATTTATGTTCAAAACTTGTGACGTTCGTGACTCGATCGAATTCCGGGAGGTCTAGACAAAAGATGAAGACGTCTCCGGTAGAGAAGGATAAGATGCGTCCGATAACAGGGGCAAAAGTAGGCAGAGATGTGTATATCCACCGGGTAGTGAGGTACCAAACGGGTCATCGACCTCTGTGGTGCAGCTGTTATTGATCGACGAGAGGACTAGCAACATCGCTCCGGCGGCGTTCTGGCCGAACTCCCGCTCTCTCGTCTTGTCCCGAAGGATCGACCGTGTTTCCTTGCGCGAAATACCTCGTCGGATCGACACCTCTGCCGTCCCTCGTTCATCTAACCCAGACCCGATCATCGAATTTCGGTCAGCGCCGACCTAGAAACGTAGTTTCGGGGAAATCCGACAAAGAGCGGCGAGCGTGGCCTGACCCAATAAAACACTGGGTGACCTCTTTTCCGGACTCCTCGCCCTATCCTTCCCCACCCGTCTCCCCCCTCTCCTGTACCCGACCCACGCCACCCAACGTAACAGCCATGAAACTGCCACGACGATTACTGTAACCGTTTAAATGTGTCGTGAAATTGTATATTTACCGGGATTTCTGTATTCTTTTCGATAGGCGGGATCCGTGAAAACCATCGTGAAATGGCTCACGAAGTCCAGACTGTAAAAGTAACGACAGATTTCTGAAACTGAAAGTGCAACACGGTTCGTGATATAGCAGTTCTGTTTTTAGATCCGAAGACGAGCTTCTGTCACAGAATGGGATATTAGTGTTTTGAGCTTGGTGCATTCAGAGGCATCGTTACACGATGGTTGAAGTAGTATGAGTTCCTTTCTTGTTTGTGGGCGAAAGAGACTTCTACAAATTCCTACGAGCTTCTTTCATGGTTGCACGTTGATAGTAATAAATATGTGTTGTACTGAGTTGTTTATGCTTTTGATGAATTACATTTGTCCATTTCGCGTTTTATGTTTGCTCAGAGCACGTTTTACACGGACCTTGGAGCTTGTAAGAATTTATAGTTCGAATGTCGCTTGCGAGCCGAGATGGCGCGACACACGCAAGCTAGGAATCTCGTATCGTGTGACTAGGTCCTCAAAAATAACCTTAAACCATAGAGTATTGATACAGAGGGGAGTCTCCTGTCGAAATATTTGAAGTTTGAGATTTCAGAATTTAGAGGCGACGTTAGTGATTCTTTGTAGAAGTATATTTTTATCGCTTTCTATCAGTCAGTGGATAAAAATGGAAAGAAAGATAATATACGACGAATGGAGAACGTTTATTGTTGAGATTGTTAGTCATTTCTGGAGTAAGCCATTTAACACAACCCTTATTTTAATTCGCGTTGACGGTATCGTACTTCAATTTTCTTAAAATCCCAGGCATCAAGTGCAAATGGTAAATGAATTTTGAAATTTCGCTTCTAATTCAAATGGCGATATCTCGTGTTCTCTGGAGCTGTGTGTTCACAGTGATACTACTTAGCGCGCCTGCGCTCTGCAAGTAGGAATCTGAAAAAGAGCCAAGTTTCACCTCTGTGTACTCTATACTCAAAGTAACCGGTGCGGGGTTACTACTGTGGCACAGTTGTTCGGGGAATTCTTTAAAAATGTTCGCAATGATTGCATCAATGTTTATACATAAAAGTATTAGTCAGTTAGGACGTTATGTACATAAAACGCCTACGAGAATTCGATTGATACCGAACTGTTTGATAAAAGTTTCAGCATGTACCCGAAAATTTGAAACAGAAGCAGATCAGTTTGAAGGTTAATATGAACTACTTTTATTCTGAAACACTATTTGATTTACTATTTTACGTTGTTCTGTCTGCATTTGGTCTAAAAAGAAAATGAATGACCATCCAGTTTAATATTGTTATTTTCATTTCATATTGCAGAAGTACATCTATAAATTGTTAACTTTTACATACTATTACAATATTATTGTACACATGTGTGTAAAAATTTAACCATTGTGTGAATAACCAAAATATTTAAAGCATAACATTCGAATAGATCATATATAAATATACTACTGTAAAACTTTTTCTTTTCGCACCCAAAAACAGTTATAATATGAGGGAATTGTAATGTATTTAGCGAATAATGACTACTAATTAATAATTTTATATGTAACAGTATTGTGCCTTGTATCTGTACATGGGTGCTTTGGTTATTGGACAAATGTATTAATGTTTTCAAAGCTTCCATACATAATATATTTTACATAACTTTTTATTTTGGGTGCACATATTAACATTTGAATGTGTTCGAAGCAGGTTTGTGATATTTAATCAGGAATATAAAAAGTTTTTAGAGGAAATACAGAAATGGGTCTAGATACTGCAACATGGATTAAAATAATGACATTATTTAGTTTAAATTTCAGTGCATTCTTATTGACGAATGGGGCTAATTCTCTTTCTGAAATGTTTCAGGCCAGCAGGGTCAGCAGGGGGAACAGGAGTTAGCAACCAAAATGTTGCAGATTCAGAGCAAAAGATTCTATCTGGATGTAAAACAGAACAGACGTGGGAGGTTTATCAAAGTAGCAGAGGTATTTTTGAACGTTTTTAAGGGAGCACCAGTAAATTGTATTTCATCTTCAAACTACAACATCCATAGTTACTCCTTTTTGTGTGAATGAAGGAAGGGCTAAAGTCATTTTATGTTCCTAGATAGGTGCAGATGGGAGGAGGAGCCAAATCTACCTGGCGCTTAGTACAGCATCCGAGTTTCGGAACTATCTCTCAACGTTTAGTGATTTTTACGCATCCCTAGGTAAACAACAATCCTCAGTCGTCGCTGCACGGAAATTGTGATGACACTTTTAAAATATATAATCGTCCCATTTAGGTTATTCAGATCAGCAGACAGATTAATATATACTGATATTAATTATAAAAAAAAAATAACAAAAAAATAATGTCTTCATACATTAATATTTTAGACCCATTGCACCAATTGAATGGTAATACCTTTGTTTTGAAGTACAACTTTTACTATGGCTGTAGACAATCCCGTTTGCTGGCTAAATTGTTAGTGTTAGCAGCATATGAAACTTTTCAATTTGTTTCATAACGATCGGCGATTTAAAAAGGGAACAAAATCGGCATAAGTTTTTATTTTAGTAAATGGTTCGATGGTATAAATTTGACGAAGTGTCAGAAGTTTAGATGTTCTATTCGAGTTTTGAAACGTACATTCAGGTCCACCGAGCTCGGAGAACTTACCAGACGACGGGAAACTGAAGTCGGAAGTGATGACGAAGGATAACAGGCGGTATTACCTGGACCTTAAGGAAAATACTCGCGGCCGTTTCCTGCGGGTAAGTGGCTCCACGTACATCAGTCAGTCGGTCTTATTTATTGAACTAGATAACATGACGTATATAATGTTAATTTCTTTCAATTGATCGGAAAAGTTTATGTTAACGTAGTATCTGAATGAATCATGTTGCTCGAACCATAATCAGCTTACCCGTGATCGCCAAAAATCGTCCCAGCGGTGTATAAACGTACATTTTAGAGGATGTATTCTGAATGGTTTACAAAAGGATATCGTATACTGTACAGGTGTCGCAGACGATCACACGGGGTGGACCAAGGACGCAAATCGCGATACCGGCACAAGGTATGATTGAATTTCGTGACGCGTTGACGGACCTCCTCGAAGAATATGGCACGGAAGATGGTGGCTTTAAGATTGACTTGCCAGATGGACGGTACATGCGTGTGGATAGCAAGAATTTCTATTTTGATATCGGCCAGAATAACCGTGGTATCTACATGAGAATTTCCGAGGTATACATACATAGTGCATTAAAAATTATACAGTCGGGTGTATCGTAACACGAGAACAACAGTTCAGGGATGGATTCAGAATAATATATTATGTTTCACTTACAAGCTTTTCTACATCGCGTGAACAGTTCGCCTACTTTTAAAACTAGTCAGCCACAGAATCCTAAACTAATTTTAAGGTATCGTGCAGTAAATCTGCCTCTGAAATAGTAAATAACGTAGTGTATAGAGTCCACTCGTGAAATGATGTTACAGTCATTGAATTCTATACTTTGAATGATAACTGAGTTGACGCTGACCTGTTCGACAGAGAACATTGTGTGAGAGGTATCCTTATTTCACTCTAACACACATCTTTTCCGAACGTACAGTCACATTTACATCTGTCTATACCCAAATTTGCTACCGGATAGTAAGTAGAGGAAAGGAGAGGTACTGAGAGATACCTTCGAAACAACTATCTACCTCGGCCCCAGCTCATTTACGGTTTTTCGTACTCTGTTATCGTTCCAGGTGTATAAAGTTCAATGGTTACAGTACACCAATGTCTACTTACTAGACTAGTTCACTAGTGACTCGTACTCACTTGGAATGTAACTAGGACTAAATCATTGGTAGATATTTTGTAAATATTTCCAGACAATATATTTTCTAGCGTATTGGAAAGAATATATTTTTCAAATATCATTTTAGTTTTTTTCTATATAAAACGAAACCAAAACGGTATCTGTCTGTATAGCTTTGACACATTCTGACATTCCAATTTTCCAAATAAGTGTGGTACAAGAATCTGGATAAGATTCAGATTGATCTGTTTGCAGGTCAAGACGCACTTTAGAACAGCAATCACCGTACCCGAGAAATCCTGGGCGAATTTCCGTGACATATTTGCAGATTACTGTGAAAGAATGAGAGAAAAAGGTGTCGCCAGCAACGTTGGTATGAACAGCGGCGGCGGTGGGAACGTCTTGTCCGAGGGGAGGGGCTCGGTGGTGGCACAGGTACCATCACCATCGACCTCACAACAGCCTAATCCCAATCCAAATTTAGACTCTCCCTTAATGAAGTGAAAAAGGCTTTAACTTAACTCGAACATTGGAATTATAACCGTAACTCGTTTTCAAGTCATTAAGCGAACTAAAGGAACTTGTCAGAGTCTATGCCATCGTCATCGCCATTTTCATCGACATCGTCATCGTCATTCTCACCGTCACCGTCACCGTCACCGTCACCGTTATCGTTATCGCCACCGTTACTATCACCGTCACTCGTCGTCAACTAAAAACACCAAAACTCGCCTGAAATGGTTATATATATATATATATGTATATGTATATATAGATATATATATACATATACACATGTGTATCGCAGAGGGTCACAACCGTCAACTGATTTGTTGAGGTAGAGTCGTGATCACACAGATTCGTTGAAAGGGTCCGTGAGATACCTTAATCAACGTATCTGTTTAATGATCTATATATCGCCACACGTCGAGGAGGAAAACGATGAAGGATAGTGGAAGGAGGATAGGTGATGATGTGCGTTCGCGCGTGCGTGCGTGTGTGTGTATGTATGTATGCGTGTGCGTGTGCGTGCGTGTGTGTGTGTGTGTGTGTGTCTGTATGTGAGTGCGCGAAAGAAGCGAGTCCTACTACTTGTGCGATTACACAGAGATAGAAAATACGCAACGACGGAGATCGAGGATATAGAGCTCTATTGCGCGATTGTCCTTAGGTGGATACGAGTTGCCATCGATTAACGTTATGTGTACTACCGTTCATTTCCTGGCCGTATATATATTTCCGTGGCTACCGCATCGATTTCGTTCCGTTTTACGTTCACCGCTTGTTTATGCTTACGAAAAAAACTCTCGAAAGCTGGTTCTCGACACGGCACGAGCCTATTATTCATACAATTCATCACGCATGTTCGGCGAAAAAAAAAAGAAGACGAAAAGAAAAATGAAAAAATGGATTCTTCGTTGGGAAATGGACTGTAGTCAAAGTCACGTTGCAATTGAATTTGATCGTTCAGAATTTATGAATAAATGAATTGTTATATTAACGATTATATCGCAAGGAGAAAGGAGAGCGTGGTGTGGGTAGTCGCGTTAGACAAAGGCTCGTTGATCGTGGAAAGCGGCATCACACGGTGCGCTAACTTGACCGATGTGGTAACCGCGGTTGCTTAAAAAGTACTGAAAATTTCGACGAATCTCGTTAGACTCGGCATTTTTCGGTGTCTAATGTAACGTAACGCAAGTCCATCGCGTTTACGTTCACTTTTTTAAGGGCGCGCGCGCGTTGTTCATCGCTTCGGGGTCAGGTTGTCGCAGACGGAAAAGAAAGGTGTTCGCTCTGCTAGCCACGTGAAAACGTTGAATCACAATTTAGACCGCGACGCCGCACACACTCGTTTACAAACTGAACGACGTCTCTATTAAAGTAATTATGAAATAATATATAACATAGGTGAAAAAGAAATGCTAGGCGAATACGAATCCCTATAATATGTATATTATACAAAGTTAATTATGTTATGTTTTGTTTCATCGGTCCGTACGATATGTGCGCATGCAGACGCGAATGCATGGGTGTCCGAGATATAGAGACGCCATTACAGAATGCAATACGCGAATCATATAAATATGTATAAATAAACACACAGATACACACATACACACACATTTGCATTCAGGCTATACACACTGGAAATCAAACGATCTTGCATATACATTGTACACATACATACATACATACATACATACGTATACATACACACAGGGCAAACACAAAATATTCCATCGTGAAAGATGAACGGTACAAGAGACGGTGTGCACGCGTACGTAATCACGTTACGTTTGAGTGACGACCGAGATCTAACACAATTGCATATTAGGTATGTATTATACGAATGCATATTAGGTATTTATATAGAATCTATATAACTGTATAATTGTAACGAAATGCCAATGTCCACGGACCCAGGCAACTGTATCACCTAGCAACGCGGGATCACTCGAATTGAAAAAAAGTGTTGCGGGCCTGCAGTCGCTTAGGTCCATGTCCCTGGACACAGGAAGAAAGATAACGTGACGAAAACGAACGGGGAAAAGAGAAGAATGCAAATAAATAACTCAAATTGAACGACCGAGTCGGAGGAGAAAATTAACCGGCAATCGAGTTAATATTCTCAACGGAGAAGGAAAATCTTAATACGCTTTGATTCTGCAACGCTGTGCTAATATCAACAATGATAATAGATGAAAGAAAAGAAAAAAAAACGATGATAAAGATGATTATATCTATCCGTTCTCTTGCGTTTCTTCTAATCGAAACGACGAACCGAACTAATTAATCGTGGGGGTATATTTCGCACTGGTGCGAAATGAAAAATATAATCGAGCAGTGAGCGGGCATAGATGCATTAAACGCATAAAGTGCTATTTAATTAATGAAAGAAAAAAAATGAGAAAATAATAAGAAAGAAAAATGAAAGGGACGCGTCCGGTTCGTGCGTTATCGGCACGTCCCTCACGTTTTGAAGAGATGAGTAAAAAAATTTTATTTATTTTTTAGCAATGAACCTATTATCTATTTCGATAAGATATTTCTTTGATTGCATTTCCTTCTAAATCGACAATTTCGGCTGGTCTGAATTTACTTAGCACGTAGGTTTTGGTGAATAGAAATGAAAATATAAATCACAATATAACAAATTCGAATACGCACGAGTGGGTGAACAATCGAGACACGGTAAGATTCCCCCCCAAACCCCCCGATCCTCTTCAGTTTAAGACTAGTTTGATCGTTGTACACATATGTAATACCCCCTTCTTCTTGTTCTTATTGTTACTTTTTTTTTTTTTTTTTATTATTGTGATTCTGTTCATTTTTTTTAACGCATCGAACGATCCACGTCGACAAAGTAGCGAACGTAGAGAAACTAGGAAACTTTATACCTCGAATCGATTTACTTTGCACGTTCGTGATGTTCTGTTCTTTTCTATTTTTTATCGCTTATACCTTTGTCACGCGATTTGTCAAACATTGTCGAGTTGTTCAAGGGGGTCGGTGAACCCGGATTTGTGCACGAGCATTATTGTCCGAACCGAGCGTTCTGTTGGAAGCGGCAAAGAGAAGGCATACACAAAAAGAGAGACAGAGAAAGAGGAAATCGTTCACTGGCGCAGATGGTATGACATTGTGATCTATACAAATTACAAAGCATTAACAAGTAGTAGATATTTAAGATATAAATACACACACGTACACCTACGGTGACTTAGACACCAATTGTCTGATTATACACGCAATCGCGTGTATAACATATACAGAGAAAAAAAAGTAATAAGGAACACAAACACACGTTATTAAAGTGAGGACGACTACAGCGTACCTAACTGAAAAAAAATACGGAAAAAGAAAAAAACAAAAGAAACACAGAGAGACAGAGAAAGAGTTATAAGGAACAAGCAAAAAAGAAATAAAGAAAGAAAATCGTCTGACACGTAAAGAGTAAGCAAAGTAATATAAAAGAAACGGGGGAAAGAAAAAAACACATGGATTAACACACGTTTATATTGAACCATTAGTTGTCTATCGAATGTTCTCTTTTTTCTTTTTTTCATATAGCGGAGAAGGTGATTGTTAGAGAATAGCTTGGTGTTTCGTTTGCTGTTTTTACAAACGTGTTGTATGGTTGGCAATCGGCGTACCTGTTTTGGGGAGGGGGCGGGGGGGGATGGGGCGGATGTGTTAGACGGTATTTCTCGGAACTCGAGCGAGACAGAGAAAGAAAAACAAAAGGGGTAGCCGAGATCCACGACCACGTTTAAATATTTGGTGGGGCTTGACCACTACTGTTATCATTATCACTGCTATTATCACGTAGGGTTTTCATACCAGGTTTGGCGTTTCTCAGGCTGTACGTGCGTAGAACCAATGATATGTGTCCTGTTACTAATTATACGATAATAATCGGTTTCCTCCAATGGGGGAAAGAGAACAAGAGAGCGAGCGAGAAAGAGGAGTGTGCATGTGTTACCTTTCATTAAATCCTACACTTCTCGCTAGTGTAGCACCCCGTCGTCTATGACGGACCCGTTAGAATTAAACTTAAACCCGACCGCGCCGGACTTTTAAACTAGCAATTAAGCCCCGTTCATTCTTAGCTTGCGACCAGAGATTAAAAAAAAAAAAAGAAAAAGAGGCCATGGTATGTAAACCCTGCGCTTGCTGCAATTATTCTTATTATCATTATTATTATTACGATTATATTGTCATTATACTTATTATTACGATTATTCTCCTTATTATTACTATTAGCACCATTATTACCAGAACACTAAGCAGGTGTGTCCTGATCCACCGATCACAGGGGACCGGCCTTGAGCGGGCTGATTTTTGTCTTTTCCCTCTTCTTTTTTTCTTTCTTTAATTAACCCCACCCCGCCGTTCTCATTCTGTCACAAAACTGGGAACGGTAGAAATTAACACCCAACTTTTCAATCGGTTCCTTCGTACTACATACCATCGCTCCCGTCCTTTTCCCGTTTCTGCGTTAACCAATCTGCCCACTCGGGTCTGGCGTAGAGTTGGCGTATAGAGAACGTCTTATTAAATGTGTACTCGGGAAGGAAACTGCTGCGCGAGAGAAACGACAAGAAAACAGAAGGGAATAAAGAGAGAAAAAGAAAGATCGAACACCGGAAATCCCGAAACTCTTCGATCGATGACGTTAGATTTAGATTCGCGGCTACCACGAATCACCCGTCATACCTTCCAACCCCTTTCACCCCCCGCACAGTTTTTATCCAAAGTGAAGAGAGAGTGTGTGAAAAAGAAAAAGGGAATCTACCTTTAACCGTGGCGTTTTCTTTTCTTCTTCTTAACGCGCTCTCGCGTGCGTGTGTGTGTGTGCGTGCATGTATGTGTTCACGTGCGTGTATAGAGATAATCGACGACGGAGCGAGCTATCTCTTCGCGAAAGGAAGACAAAACGGAAGCACGGGGAACCGATTATGGAAATGATGCACCGTCAAAGGCGCATTGGGAAATCATTTGTTCCATTCTTTTCTTTTTTTAAATTATGAATCACCTTTTGATTACATGGGGCAACGTTTTTATATTATAGTTTCTTCAATGTATACCGTTGCATCACTGTCCAAATACAGAGTTCAGTTGTACGGCTGAACCCAATTTTGGGTCAATGCCATTGAAGTAGAACGCCTTTTGTAGCTAGACACATACACACACACACACACACACACACACATATACATCGTGGAATTGTAAATGTCACTTTAACCCTTCGCACTTATAGACCCGCAGTGACACATTCCTCGAAACAAAATCTTGACCTAATCTGAACAATGATCGATTATATTCTTCGAGCAACAACAACTGTGTTTTTAGGAGAAAATTGTTCTTTTACCACGATCGTTTTCCATCGCCCTTTTAGTTCGGAAGCTTTTCTGAAGTTGCTGGCCGACTCGCACAGAAAAGTTGACAAGTGCAAGGGGTTAAGAAACACGTAGAATACTTCTAGAGGACACGCATCTTCCAGTTTCGGTTCGAAGGAAGTTTATTAACGTACCGTTTAAACGTGTAATAATTATCACTGCCTGATATACCATGGCCTTGGTCTGCAGAGAATTAATAATTTGGCGTTTGGAAATGTAAAGCATCTCTAGGTTCGGCCACAGTTTATTATGTTTGCAAGTGCAGCAGCAGTCGTGCCTTTTGCATCCATATTCGTGTGTTTTTTGTTGTTGTAATTGTTTTCTTCTTCGTTCCCTTCGACAGGCTTCGGTTACCGAATTTTTGTAAATAGTTCTAAGGAGTATGCACAATATTATCGATATTTGGGCACTCTGCATTCCAATAGTCCAGGGATATACGATAAGCCACCAGGCAACAGGACAAACTTGAACTTTGTATTATAATGTTCTCCAATGAATTAACTTTCATGTAACTTCATCTGAGTTATTAGCTCCTGTTCCTACGTAATATTCGAAATATGCAGCTCGAATTTTTAACCCTTTTGACACGATCGACTGTACGCGACGATTCAATATGGCGGCTAGCGACTTCGTCATCGTTGTACCTTGGTTTCGGTAATTATATGCAGGCCAGATGTGCATTTTTACCGACAACGTTTCCTGTTGTATTATGTCTTATTTCGTCTCTGAACAATGATAATAATTTCTCATCTCTTATGAAAAATTCAAGGCGAACGTCCATCGTATCGATCTCTTGATCGTTAACCAGCAAATTCGCGGCGTTTGTCGTGCCGAAAGGGTTAATCAGACATCTGAACTTCATTGCAAAACAATCTTTGTACATAATGGAATCGTCTCTCCGGTGTGATTCTCTCAATCGCATCTCGCGATGCATTGTTTCCGATATCGGTGAAAAGTAGCAGAAAAACTCGAGGGACGTTTAATAGTTCGCAGCTCTCGAACGTTATTTATTTCGAGAAACGGTAAACAGCATAATATTATTGTTATATAAACTAATCAAGTCAAGTTCTCGACATGTCACGAGCACCAGGATGTCGGACACGGTTCGTACTAATTATTTCTTCGGATCAACGTTTTTTCTCGCCATAGTTTGTAATATTTTTAATATATTAACTAACTAAAGGAACAAGGAGTTGTCGGTAGCGGCGGAGGGGGGGGGCGAAAGATCAGAACCGTATAACAAATTGCTTACGATTGTCAAGGTGATGGTTAGATTCATCGTGTAGATCATGACTGGCAACGACCTTTCGTTCGCGATTAGAAAAGAAAGACGAGTAAAGAGGATGTTATCCAGGAGAGCAATTTCAGCAGAGATCGCGGGAAAAGTGAAAAGAACCACTTGTACACGTATACACGCATGCTGTGAATACGTGTGGTCGTGTACACGCGTATTTGTTGGGCTAAATTCGAGAAAGATGAAAATCGTAGAAAGAGAGAATGTGTGTGTGTGTGTGTGTGTGTGTGAATGAAAGAAAGAGAGAGAGAAAGTAATAAATAACGATAAGAGGAACCGACACTCACTTTTAAGTATGACAGCTGTCCGTCTATTTGACTTGTGTGTTCGACAAGAAGAAAAAAATGAAATTGATAAGAAAAAAATACATGAACAAAAAAATTTAGACAAAAATAGAAACGGTACCACTACGGCTCACGCGTTTGAAGACAAAATATTAAACAAACAAACAAACAAAAATAAGATTCATCGCCTCGATGTTAAATGTAACACGTTTTACAAGGTAACAGAGGATTTCATTTTATAACATTTCTACTGTCTATACTTTCACCCGGACATTCTCACAAGTAGACGAAAGAAATAGAGGCGGTCCATACGTTCCAACTAACTCCTCACCCCCACCCCCTACACCCGTTTCTGCCAATAGCAAGTGTGCTACACGTTAAGCGCGTGTTTGGTACACGTTCTGGTTGCAAGCGTTTCCTCCTGTGATCGAGAATAAAAAGTTTTCACTTCGGATGGTTTAAATTTTGTGCCACGGCGAACACTGTATAGAGTTAGAGAAAAATCAATCCATTCCGCTGAAAGGACCCGGGCGATTATCCGATTATAATTGTCAAAGTTTTGTATATGTTTACTTCATACTAGTTTACAAAATGAAAAGTATAAATTGAAGATTCTTTGTCGAATAAGCCGAATTTAAAGTCAGAGCGAGGAACGCTTGCACTCTCCGCGACAATGGGTCCCGAACACGAGCCGTAGTTCCTTTTCGTTTCTCAGCAAAGGTGCAATAAAAGAGAGAGAGAGAGCAATGGCTTTTTCAGCGTTCGCCTTCGATATTCTAAAATGAATTATTATCATTTAGAGGTCTTGTCGATATTGTAGAACTCGTCTCTGAACGTCCGCGCGAGTTGTTTTAGGAAAAGGACATTTTATATCTTCGAGGTGTAGCACAAAACACATGCATATTACGTGCATAAACATGTAGGAATTAAATGTTGGACTTTAACGATTTTAATCGCTTCTGTTAAACGAAAAGAAAAAAAAACAAAGAGGTTTCACAACCGAACTCGGTGAAAATTATGATTAAATCAAAAGAGTAATATTACTTGGACTTACACAATGAATGCCTATTCTTTGATCACACTGCTTACGTGCAGGGCGATTCATATGTACCAGAATGGAAAAAGCACACAAGGAGGGATTATTATCGGTGATTTTTTCAACAATGTATGCTTGTATATTTTTTGCGTTAATGCATTTGTTTTCTTTTCTAATTTATTGTTTGCTTTTAATTTGAAAGCGGGTTTGTGTAGTTAATACCAATTATATGAATCATCCTGTACAACGAATGGAGTTCCTGGAAGAACATCGCTTGAGAGGTTGCCACAAAAAAAGTATAAAGTCTGATTTATACTATCCGTTAACACACAAAGACGCTTAATGTTCGTGTAATCAGGCCGAGCCCAATCCAAAAATTCCATGCACAATAATGCCTATTATTTGATAATGTTTGCTCGTGTATCCTTGCAAGATATTTATTTAGACGAAAATAACAAGAAAACGGAAAGAAAAGTATGCGACACCTGCGTTCTTCCCGGTACTCTGTCATTTCTTTCTTTCTTTTTCCATAAACGATCCTTTAAGGTATATTGACCTAAATCATCATCCACAGAAGATCCTACACTGTACTCTTGGCTTCGACAGGTAACACAGAAGTCGCCAGGTGGTATAAAGAACAAAACGGAAAAACGACAGGCCGATCAGCGGCAACGTGAATCCTTGAAAAGACGCAAGTCCTTGCCGCGCCAGGCTGAATCGTCTTCCATCAATCCTGAAAAATCCATCCCCGTCCCTGTCCTACAAGTCCCGATGTCCAATGATATCCCAATGACGTCCGGTTCCCCTGTAACAACATCGAGCGCTAGCAAATGCACGGTGTCCGAGGAAAATATTCTTAACGGTTCGTCGACATCGCAGGAGATTCAAGGAGTGTGCCCGGTTTAGAAACGGCCCAAGTTTAGTACCGCCGCGCAAGTTCTCGGCGTCGAGCGCGCCACAGCCTACGCACGTTTAGGCGATTGGGACGCGACCGTGATGTATCGTTTCTTAGATTTGTTCTTTTACGTTCTGCAGTTTGTGTAGCGAATGTTTCGTGCGTAGTTTAACTTCCCTCTTGATACGGGTAAATTCGTGTCCTGTGTGGGTGCAGTTGCTTGTTGGATTGTCGAAGAGTTCAGATTGTTTTCAAACGGGTACGGTTTTCAAGCCACCGCGGCGAATAGTGCGCGTGCGCGGTCAGTGAATTTTCTGATACTTCGAACGAACCTTGTTCATGGAAAATTTCATCTTTTTACATCATATTACGAATGTTAGAATACTAATTTGAAAGAAGTATCTTTTCTTAAGTCCAAATTCTGTTCTGAACGTTACGAGGTACCCTAAGTGGTTTGAATTTTAAGCGTTACTTCGACAGCACTAACAGCCTTTAGATTCAAATCTTGGAAATAAACACTATTGAAAGGTAATTTTAGTCATCGATGAATTTAGTAATTCTTCCAATAGAAGTTCAGAATACGGAATTTCTTAAAGTGTTTTAAAAATTTTTTTCAATTTGTACCCAAGTACTTTATTAATTGTTATCTAAGTTAAACGCTTAGGTACCATGGATAAATTTGATTTAATTTGACATGAATTTCTGTTTCTTATTTACTCGTTTGTTGTAGCGAGGATGGACCGGTATTGTTAGATTAACGTTGCTTGTTTTTCTATGAGACATAGAGATAAGTTTTGTGATAAACATAGATGGTTAATGATTGCATTCGACCAGAGTTTCGCGTAGCACTACATTAGACATAGTTAGGTAGGGAACACGATATGGTAACACCTGTTCTACGCGAGTAATAACTTAATTTACTTATTACATTCTGTTCAGACATATTAAATTTATATTATGCAACCAAATAGTAATTTAATAAAAATACTTTCTTTTCATACAATAACATTAAATCTTTATTTAAATGCGTTAGTTTCTCTTACTTTATATTTGAAACAAATACATTTCTCACTCTTTAAAATAAAACCAATGATATAAAGTATAATATGTACAGTAGTTTTAATATTTCGAAATAGAACAATTTTATTCTTAATTACACATACACGTTTTCATTAAATACTGTCCGAATTGGAAAGTTGTTCTCCAAATAATTTCAACCACTGGGGGAAATGTGACAGCAAAGTTATTGCAGTATCTTTATCCTCGGAATGTATGTTTTTTAATACTCTTAAGGCAGTATTCTTAGAGTCATCTGTATGATATGTAGGTTCTATATGCAACAAAATCACAATAGATTGCAAGTTTCTCGGATAAAGGTCTAAAATATCTTTACCTTGATTTTCACAACATTCTTTAATACGATTCAAAATTGATTGTATAAAACTTATTACTACAGGACAATGATCTAAATGTACAAGCAATTCTTTTAAAAAGGCACATACTAGAAGGAAAATACATGAAGACTCACTAGCAAATTCAAATAACTGATCTACCATATTTACACCCTCTGAATTGTTTGTATTATCATCATCATTTAAATCTGTACAAGACGACACAAGATAATTTAGCAATGGTTGTTCTATCAGCTTGCATCTTTGCGAATCATATATATTTTCTACTGTTGAAAGTTCAAGATTCAAATTTGATTTCTTTTGCACAGCATAACATAATAATCGTTCACTTTCATCACAAGATTCCAATTCTGTAAGTTTGACAAGCAGTTTTTCTACATGATACTTATAATATGAATCTGTAGATGCCAAGCACATTAAAGCACTAGTTAATGGTAACAGATTTTCAGTTGAATCACATGTATACATGAAATCATTTGTCAAATGTTTGTCCAACAGACTTCTAAGAAATGTAGATGTTTGCTTTCCATCTCTAAATATTGGGAACTTTTTAAATGCCTCAGATATCCTACACCAATCTCGTAGAACATCCTGAAACAAATCAACATTATGAAATACTATAATGAAATTACGTGTAAATTTACAATCAGAGAAATACATACAATTATATTAAGTCTCACAGTATAACGTTGATAAGCTTCCTTTGATACCTTGTAAGACAACAAATTTGTCAAAGATAAACATAATGCGTTAAATATATTACTAGATGTTGGTAAAAATTTTTCTTCGTTTATTAATTTTTGATAGTCCTCTGAGTTTTCAAGATCTTTTGTGGCACTTTCACAACTGCATAATACTGCTTTCAGAATTCTGTCATCCATAGCCTCTCAATAATTTTGAACTATTCTTGGTGAAATAAAAAATTAAATAAAAAGAATGTAAAAATTGATTTTGTTATTTCATAGTTGAAAAAATATTGTGAAACTTGTTTAAAAACATCACAATCTATTTATATTACGATTAATATTTAATACATTTCGTTTTGAAGACTTTTATGGTACCGTGTTGGTTAGAGCGTTCTCTTATATGATCCAATATGATCCTATTATATTTTATATATGTACATTTCAAATTTTATAAATTATTGTTGTAAACTATTTTTTTACAATTAATAAGTGTACATACATAGAATAATATGCAAGAATTTATATATGATTTAAACAAACAACATATTTCTTTTTTTATATATTTATATGTATGTATATGTACATATATACATAGATTTCCATGACTGTTAATTAATCGAATATGGATTATGAAAGAAATAAATACATATCGCTTCATGATACCATCATATTCGTAATACTTCAGTTAAATTGTCTATATAAATAATCGCGATAAATGTACAACATAATTATTAGTAGAATGTATTAAGTAAATCATATTTGTTTTATATAAATATTAATTTTATAATCAGTTTGACATCTGATGGGAGCAATAAAATAATGGACCGTGTGACAAATAACAACTATATGTATAACTTGGAATTGCAGTCACTACATTATTGGTATAAGCATGCTCCATTGCAGAATCAATCATTTAAATATAACAATATAATGAAGATTATGCAGAATACAATTTACAAAACTGATATCATAGACATCAGTAGTCAAGAAGTTACAAAGTAAGGATCATAAAGCTTAATTACACAATAATTAGCAATCTGATTAATTTCATATGTTATGTGGTTTTATTCAAAGGTCACACATTAGTTATTATGATAGAGAAATTTTAAAAAATGTCTTTGAACATTGGAAAATGTATGTTGTACACAAATTACATACAAGAAGAGCTACGTATAAAGCAAACTATTTTTATTACAAAAAGCTCCAAAAGAAAGTTCTGTATGCATTATCCAAGAATGTATTGTTAAAATGGAAACATATTGTTTCATGTACAGATATTTGTACTAATAAACTAGCAATTTCTTTAAATTGTAAGAAAGCTGAAGTACATTGCCGTAAAGTTTTATTAAGGCAATATTTCACATGTTGGTGCAAGTATATTGCAATTAGACTTAAAGAAACTACATTGTTAGAAAAGGCTATTACATTTTATAACTCCTACTGCTTAAACAAATTTATAATGTATTGGAAGGTGTACATAATACATCGAAAGCGAAAGAAAGTTATACAAGATAGAGCAGATGAGGTAGTATTTAAATTTAATTTATAATTGAAATGGGCACCGTTATTTCTTCATTCTTAAAGTAATTTATAATATAGGTGTACAAGCTTCATTTAAAAAAGATTTTACAAAGATGTATGAGAGCTTGGATAAGTATTTGTGAATTCACTGTTCAAAAATCACAACTTGAAAATGCAGTTCTACATTATAAAAATAAATTGTTTAAAAAGTATTTCAGTGCTTGGACGAAATACCATGATTCAAAAATTGAGAAATCAATTACATATGAGTATGTGCAGGAATATAGTAAGAAGAAATTAGTGAAACAGTATTTTGAGCAGTTTATTATGGTAGTATATTTAAGAAATTAATTTATTCATTACATTTGTAAACATTTTAATTATATTCAACACACGTCCATGACAGTGCGTAAAGGAGTCCCTTGCTGATAAGATAGCCCAAGCAAACGCTGAAACATTTAACAATTTTAAATGCTTGCAAAGAGGATTTTATGCATGGCGGAGGTGGTATGATGAAAAGGTTCAAAATCTAATAAAAATGCATGAAATCAAAAGTATATTTGAAAACACAAACAAACGTACAGCCTTTGATAATTGGCGTTTATATGTATATGAAAAAAAGTGTAGAAAAAGAAAGTCGTTTTTATCGCAAAATTTTTATAAAAGGAAACTGATAACGAAGTATTTAAAAAATCTTTATCATTATGCTGCTTATAGAAAGCAAAAACAAATGAAATTATCTTACTTAAATAATAGAAGCGACGCAATTATTCGCCACTTACAAAATGTTTATATTGAAAAATGGAGAATGGCACTTCATATTGTTGTACAAGAAAAACGAAAATTAAGCTATGCAATCGAATTTTGGGAATTGAATTTATCGCGTAAATACTTCCTTTATTGGAAAGAATTTTCTCAAAACTACAGAATGAAGGAACTTCGTAAGAAAAAATTAAATGATCTCGCTTCCGACTTTCTATTAAAAAAATACATTTTACATTGGCGTACTAAGTTACAAAATATACTTGAAATTAACAGAAAAGAACTTTATATAATATCAATAATAAATCATAAAATTATGAGAAAACATTTGTATTTCTGGAAACAATACATTGTCCAAAAAGTAACAAAGAGAAATAATATTGATGCAGCAAAAGAATTGCATAAGAAATTCTTTTTACGACAAGGATTGAAAGAAATTTTAAAAAGTACTCTACACAATATCGATTATCGATACTACTTGCAACTAGAAAATGCAACAATAAGATGTTTCAAAAAGTTTGAAATTTTAAAAGAATATTTCGATAAATGGCAACGAACAATTTATTTAAAGAATAACGCGAAATCATTACATAAAGTTACCAGAAATAAAAATTTTCAGTTTATTCCACCTGAAACTTCATATAATATATTTAACAGTAGTAAAAACGTAAGTTTAGTTTTGCCAGAATACATGAAGAAGAAAAATTCGATTCCTACAGTTTCTGACTCATTTGTCACACTCCCACTAGAAAACTGGTCATGCAATTTCTTTCAATTGCATTGAAATGAAAGATGAATGTGCAGTATATACCTGATCTTAAACGTAATTAAGTAAATTTACACAATATACTTTATTATAATTACATCATTTATGTACACATCATTATCTTAGACGATATCAGTCTTCATAATACAATCGCTGTACTGTACTAGAAATGAGTGAAAAAGTCGAAACATTTTAAGACGATAATATATAATTTCAAAATTGTTTAGTTACACTTTGAAGTACAAAAATCGTATGTGTCGCTAATATAGCGATCATGATTATTTGATTGTAGTTAAAGTTTCTTACAATATTACTTTTTTCTTTTCAATTTCTTCAATTCACTCTGTTGCGTTGCAGCATCACCGAAGATTTCTTTTACTTTACGTTTACGTTCTTCGTCGCCCTTTATTTGCTGTTTGATTTGTACCTTCGCTATGAACGCTCTATCCCTTCGTATTTCACGAACAGCACCTTTCATTTCCTTCTTATATTTATGCAACAATTTTTCTCTTTCTGCTTTCTCCTTGCTCATTGTCTTATGTTTCTTACCATCGTACCTACAAAAACGTTTAATATGTGTAATTTACTTGAAGCATACCCGTATATTAAATTAATGTAGTTTACAATTGATACATACACTGCTTCAATTCGAGGTTCATACAACCTGAGTGGTTTTGGCTTTTTCTTCTCCAGTACAATGTATTCCAATTTCCTTTTTTTTAATTCCTTCAAGTCTTTTCTTAATTGTTTAATATGCTTCTTGACAGTCGATGGATACTCGTGGAACGCATTTGCTGTAAGCAATTTCAATGTTGGTTCGAAAATCGAATATGCAGCTTCTAATTCTTGTAATTGGTTCTTGAATTCACGCATTAAATTAACAGCCGTTAACAAAGCCCTTATCTTGAATTCATCGGTTAGTTCTCCTAGTAGTAAATCCTCAGCTTTCATAAGTGCGTTACTCGGTTCAATATCTAGATTCGTCTGATCATCATCAAGTACCAACAAATTACTTAATTCTCCATTTGTTTTGAAGGGTGGTATAATTTTTATCCCTTGAATCGAGTGTTTTGGCGTGGATACATAAATTACTCCACGTAAGAAATTTATCACAGATGGAGAAAATCGTTTGCTTAGTACCGTGTACTGTAAATATAATTTAAAAGAATTTATGCGATGTTGTTACAACATATTGCTGGAGTAAAAGTAAGATAGTTTGTACCTCTAAAACAAGTGTACATATGAGAAGGCCTTTTGAAATATCTGCTTTATTTTTAACATGACACCTAAGTAAGCATTGGGTCATAAATATCAAGCAAGGTGTAACGACAGGATGTCGAAAATCGGATGTTGGAAATATTAAAGAAACCAATTTGAAGAAAATCAACTGAAACAAGAAACGTTTTCATCAGATTACATTCAACTTAATAAAACAAGGTTCTTCTAAAGTAATTATATGCTGAACATACTGTATCTAGATTAGGATATTTCTTCTTATGTTTCTCAAACTCTGCATGTTTCTCTTTAATTATTTCTTGTATACACATTTTAGCATTTTCTGAATTCATGTGTGCTAAATCATATACAAATGGACATAATCTGAAAGAATTAAATATGATAAATCACAGGTAACACGAGTAATTAAACTTGTTATTTACAAATTGTATATTACCTATCAAAAATTTGAAAACAGTCAACTACACTGTTTACATCATCTTCTACAGCACAATCATTTATGTGCTGTAATAAAAATAAAAATAAATTTGATAACTTTTCTTTATTTTTGCCATCTAATGTCCAGTGATTGCATTTTATGATACGATCAATAATAACTGACTGATATTCAGCATTATGATTCTCCAACAATTTTTGCAATTCCTCGTAAGTCTGTGGTGCTGCATAGGTGTAAGGCAATTCTTTCCTTGCTTTCTCCATAATTTCTTTTCTTTTTAATAAATCGTCTCTAATTTTTTGTTTCTTGTTTTTATTTTCTACTTCTGTGATGTTTGTATCAGGTTCCGACTTTAATATTGATTTTCCTTTTGTGAAACTGGAAGTTCTCTTTTCAGTGACAAAACTTTCATGATTTTTTGCAAATGAAACACTCCTTTTGCATGATGTGCTTTCTTCCTCCTCACTAGAAAATTCTGAGACTTTTAAGTCTGATAAATCTTCTTCAGAACTTTCAGGTTCAGAGAGTTCTTCATCAGAATTTTTTTCTGAATTTTCCTCAGCGGCATTTTCTACTTTTCTTTCTTCCTTATTGATACTACTAATTTGAAGAGCATCTATCTGTACAATTTCTTGGCTATCTACAATTTCAGAAGCATCACTGTTTTTTGCATCACTAACATAGTTATTCTCATTGTCCGAATCCTCTTCCATATTTTTAGCTGAAGCATTGCCTTCGTCAACTTTATCAGTCATAGTTTCTAATGCAAAACCATCATCAAGATCGTCTGCAGATTTATGTTTAATTGCATTATTTGAATCATTCACAAATCCTTTCATTCTTGCTAATCGATCTGCTTCAAGGGCCTCTAACTTTTCCTTGTCCTCTTTTATAATTTCTTCTTGAGATTTTAATTTATCAGTTGGCATACCTCTAGCTTCAAACTTTAATGTTCGCACAGCAATGTCATAATCATCAGCTTTGGATTTATTAGTTGCCTCTTCAATTGTTTTATTAGCTGCGGTTACAATTGGAAGGAGATCTCTCCATTCTGAATCAAGTTTTTCTGTTAAATCTATGGTTTGTTCACGTATCTTTTGCTTCTCAGCTTTACGTTTCTTTGATTCTGCTATAAGTTCATCAATGAGATCCTTTCGAGACTTTCCAGATTCAGATTTTGACAGAATACCACCACCAAAATGTGCCTCCCCAACAAATTTATTATCTAGTTTTCCTGTCTTGTTTTCATTGTCACTAAATTCGTCATCACTCTTTGGATCATCGAACTTCTCAATCTCCTCCAAAGTTTGACCCCTGTGTGTCAATATTTCTTCATTGTTTAAACTGTAAATATTTTTCTTCTTGTGAGCTTTCATTCGTTCCACAGCAAATCTAGCCATAGCTTTATCCTCCTCATTCATAGCAACATTCTTTTCACCTATACGTTTATCTAAGAACACATTATCTTTATTTTTCAATTTGTATTCCTGAAGAAGTGTTCCCTTGCGTTTCTGAATTGCTTTCGTACGGGATACTCCTGGAAGTCCTTTGTCTGTTTTGCTTCTTTTCCCCAAAACATTTTGTTTGTCTCTGTTTATATGCACCTCAAATGGATTTAAGCTTTTTTTGTTTTGCTGATTTCGTTTTCTCTGAGAAAGTTCTGATAATTGTTTCTTCTTTGCTTTAACCATTGTCAATTCTTTTTATATCCACATGAAGTATAACTCTGTATGCTGAAACAGAAATTGAGTTTTCAAGATTAATTAATAGATTGAACGTTTTATTACAAATTAAATACAACTATTTTATGTAATATGCAGATATGAATATTCATAACAAAATATTTTGTTTATGAACCCAATGTAAACCAAACCAAAGTCGACTACAGATTTCATGCATTTGTGACATTTACAAATATGTTGAACATAACGACATAACGGTTTAACGAGGATGAATACAATTTTAGTTCAATTTCCCATCTAATAAATGCATCAGATGATAACCTACATTTTTTTTTGTTATGGTTTTTGTAAAATCGTCCATGAAAATTTAAATTTACATAAACTAAATTATTACTTTTACCTCTGTTACCTATAAATGAAGTATAGTAATTATGAATAACTAAGAAATAATCTCTTTAAATTCGTAACCCCCTCCTTAAAATGTACGTATAATACAGTTCTATATAAAAAAGAATTTTAAACCACACCATGTAATAATTGATGTGAGTAATACGATTTGAATAGAACCATTGACATTAATGTTTTACTTAAACAATTTTTAAATAAAAATCAGCTGTTTCACCGTTAAACACGTGTTTTGAATTTGTGATACTTCATGATATTCCATAGACATATGTAATAGACTGCGCGGTCTTATGGTAGAGCTGAAATTGACACAGAAGGACAGAAGTAGTACTGGAGTAACTCTCTCTCTCTCTTGCTCGCACATCGCAGAAGGTGGAGGAAAAATCGCACTGATTGGGGTACAAGGGGAACAAAGTAGTCACAGTTTGGGTTGAATCGACATTACCAAGGTATCGATACTTTTACTCATAACTACCCACATAACACTGACATGCCTAATATGTGCCTTTTAGATACCCCATAAATGATACAGTATCTGTAATCCTGTCTGAAAAGATATCTATTCGGCCGCCGAAAAGATATCGAAGGTTATTGTAAAGACTCCCTCTAAAATACAGTAATCTGAATGATATCTTTCTGGTAACTTTTTTCAGATATCTGTAACAATGACTTTTTTCAGAAGTCTTACGGTATCTGCAGATGACTATGGTTTAGTGTAGAGATGGCGTGCAAAATCACTAACGGTGATTTATCACAGTGATCGCCGAATCACGATCACGATCGTGATTTAACTTCATTCGCGACCGTGATTGCGATTTTTTTATCTTGAGTGAATTTGCACACTGCAATTGTAAGTCATTAATCTTTAAACAGAAACACGTATTCAATATGATTTTACGATGAATTACATTACTGTGTTTGAAAATCAATAGAAAAAACAAGAAATTCTAAAAGAATGATTTGCTAGGTAACATGTAGATTATAATTTATAATCATTAATTTATTCATTATTCTTCATTATTTCTAATTATTCCTTCACTGTATATGATATACAGTGATAACCACTGACTAGGTATAAAATATACCTATCATCCAATGCTTTTTTCTGTTACACGTTCATAGGGCTCGTAACCCTGTTACCATTTTAGTGTCAATACCCGACGTTACCGATAAAGCATGAATTCGGAGTATTATTAGCACAAATGAAATGTTATATACTTCATTCATGTTGCGAGTGTCTACATGATTTGACGAGAATAAAAATATCCGATGCTTCAGTTTAAGGTTAAGGGATAAATATGACAGTCATGAAACATGAAACGGAAAAGTATATATTTTTTC